GGGGTGGGGAGGAGTGTCTCTGACTCCTGTTTGTTCACTGATAACGCCCCTCAGACAGTGTCTGAGGCCTCAGAAATACTCAGATGATAGGGACCCAGGGACGGCTCCTGCAGCTGGAGGCTGGTGGTGCCCTCCCTGGACGGCAGGTCCAGGCAGGCAGGGAACAGACGCCTCTGTCCTGAGGAGGAGAGAGTGCTCCACGCCAGACATGCGCCAGGACAGAGACTGGTCCCCAAACCCCCTCAGAGACAACAGCAGTCGAGGCTTTCCTTCGGCCCTGGACCGGCCGTGGTCCTGACCCAGCCAAGCGTGTGAGGATGGTCCTGTACCTGGGATGGGTCACAGACCCTTATCCTGCCCACCCTGCCTGTTCTTTGTATTTCTTTGGCACCTGCCAAGCAGTGCGGAGGATGCCCACAAGACATGCCTTCTATGGAACTGTCCCTTAATAAACTGTTAGCTGCCAAACCAGAGAGGTAATTGGAGTCAATTGTGGAAAGTTACGTTTGTCCACGATGAAGACACAGAGTGGGTCTCATGGTGAGGATCTTCCCAGGAGGCACACCCATCTGATGGCACCCGCAGCCTGAGGCCACCTCCTCATACTGTCTCCTCAGCCACGCCTGACATGCCAGGATCGTATTACAAAATAAAAACATGCTCAATGGAGAACACTGGAGATAAACGCTCACAGCTTTCTCATTGGTCTGTAGTTCTATAAATACGTATGCGTGTGTGTGTGCGGGGCCCCTGGGGTGACCTGCCACAGCTCACGGATTGTTCGGATGCCTCGGGCAGCAGCCAGTGTGTGCCACTATCACGAAAGCCTCTGTGAAATCTGTCCTTGTCTCTGGCACACTCGTGTCGTATTCCCGGTAGAACCGCTTCTCCTCCGTGTGCACGTGCCCAACTGGAAAGGATGCTGCCATGGCCTGCGGGAGGGGTTGAGCCAGTTACCTGCTTCCCTGGGGAGGCCCCACACCCTTGCCAGCTTGGTGTCCTTGCTTAGTTTCCCTTATGGCCATTGTGCCAGTGCTAAATAACCACCTGTGGGTTTGTTTTGGTGGTTTTTTTTTGTTAATCTTCACCCAAGGATACTTTTTCCATTGATTTTTGGAGAGAGTGGAAGGGAGGGAGGAGGGGGAGAGAGAGAGAAATACTGATGTGAATGAGATACATCAATTGGCTGCCTCCCGCACGTGCTCCTACCAAGGCTGGGGAACCTGCAACTGAGGTACATGCCCTTGACCTGGAATCGAACCCACAACCCTTTGGCCCAAGGACCGACACTATAACCACAGAGCCAAACCAGCTAGGGCTAATCATCTGTGGTTTTTAACTTGCATTTCCCTGAGAGCCTGTGCCATGGAGCTTAATCCTATGAACTGACCGGCCGTCATGATCCTCCCATTCAAATGCCCTTTTCAATTGGATGCTGACCCTTTCTATTAATTTTCAGAACATTTGACCATATTCTGGAAGGCAGTGCTTCAGAAACACCTTTCCCCCTCAGCCACTGGCCTCCCAACCTTTCTGCACCTCCAGGTGGCCTCCTGGGGGTACAGAAACTGCCATTACACTGTTGACCAACCATCAATCCTTTAAAAAATATCTTAGCCTACCTCAAGGTCATGAAGATATCCTCGCAGGTTTCGTTTTGGAAGCTTTATGGTTTGGCTTTAGATATTTAAGCCAACAGTCCACTTGGAATTCCTTGGAATTGGTTTTCGTGTGTCGTGTGAGGTAGCAGTCCAGCTTCCTTTCCCACAGCCGGGGATCAAGCCTGCAGTCAAGGAATCCAAATGAATGATATCCAAATGAAGGACCCAGCCCCGTTTACTCAAAATATCACCCTCTCCTCCTCTCTCTGCAAGCTGCTTTGGCCATGGATCTATTGTTTGCATCTGTGCGGTCTGCTTCTTCACTTCCTACTCTGTCCATGAATCTGCGTGTCCACCTTCTGCCGTGGGCGCAGCTTCATCCCTGGGGCTTTCTACCAGGCCTTTGTGTCTGATGGAGTATGTCCTCCAGCTGCGCTCTTCTTCAAGAACGGGAACGTTTAGAATAAGCTTGTAAATGTCCACAGAAGACCTGCTGTGATTTTGATTGGAGTGCATTAAATCTATAGATCTATAAATCATTTAAATGGTGTCTTACCAATATTGTTTTTCAAACCACGAACACAGTGGCGTTAACGTATGCCTTCTTTCCTCAATAACAGTTTATAGGTTTTTTTGTGTGGAGGTCTTGAAGATCTTTCATTCGATTTCTTCTTAGGTATTTGATTATTTTTCATGTTATGATGAATGGTATTTTTTAAAATGTCTACCTTCTAATTTCTGGAATATATGACAATATAAT